GGAACCGACCATCGGTTGTACGAGGGAGATCGGACGAGGAGGAGACGATCCATGCGGACGTGCTGCCCCAACTCTTCTTCCGCTGCACGGCACTGCGCGTCTAGTGGTAACGAACTGTGATCCATCTCCCGTAGCATGTCCTTGGTTGTTCTGCGCATAGGAAATTTTAATTTGCAGTCAACGCACCCTATCGTAGATCCCAACAAATCTTCCATGGAGTATTCGGAGGAGGAACCTGCCTTGCAATGCCGAAGACAATACTGCGCGCCGGACTCATCGTCATTGAGGCCTGGTTCAGGGGCTATTGAGGGAGTCCTAGATTAGGGGGTCTCCGGACAGCCGGACTATATCCTTTGGCCGGACTATTGGACTATGAAGATACAAGATTGAAGACTTCGTCCCGTGTCCGGATGGGACCCTCCTTGGCGTGGAAGGCAAGCTAGGCAATACAGATATGTAGATCTCCTCCCTTGTAACTGACTCTATGTAACCCTAGCCCCCTCCGGTGTCTATATAAACCGGAGGGTTTAGTCCATAGGACAACATACAATCATACCATAGGTTAGCTTCTAGTGTTTAGCCTCTACGATCTCGTGGTAGATCAACTCTTGTAATACTCATATCATCAAGAACAATCAAGCAGGACGTAGGGTATTACCTCCATCAAGAGGGTTCGAACCTGGGTAAACATTGTGTCCCCTGCCTTCTGTTACCATCCGCCTTAGACGCACAGTTTGGGACCCCTACCCGAGATCCGCCGGTTTTGACACCGACAGATGTCGAAACAAAGTTTCCTTGACGGTTTCCGTGAGTAAAGGTTGTATGTGATGCAACCAAAATGTTTTTGTCGATCCTAAGGATGCTAAAAGGTATGCAAACTCTAGCAATCCTTCTATGGACTGGAGCAAGCATCTGGGAGTTGGAACATACGCTTTGATGAGGTGATCAAAGCATTTGTGTTTTATACAAAGTTTGCAAGAAACTTGTTTTTGCAAGAAAGTGAGTGGGAGCACTACAACATTTCTGATAGGTATATATGGATGACATATTGTTGATCGGAAATGATGTATAATTTCTAAAAAGCATAAAGGGTTGTTTGAATTGAGTTTTTCAAAGGAAGACCTGTGTAAAACTGCTTACATATTGGGTATCAAGATCTATAGATATAGATCAAGACGCCTAATAAGACTTTCACAGAGCACATACCTTGACATGATCTTGAAGGAGTTCAAGATGGATCAATCAAAGAAGGAGTTCTTGCCTGAGTTGCAAGGTGTGAAGTTAAGACTTGATGCTCGACCACGGCAGAAGAAAGAGAAAGGACGAAAGTCGTCCCCTATGCCTTAGCCATAGGCTCTATACAATATGCCATGTTGTGTACCGCGATGTGCCTTGCCACGTGTCTGGCAAGGGGGTACAAGAGTGATCCAGGAGTGGATCATTGGACAGCGGTCAAAATTGTCCTTAGGAATAAGGAAATGTTTCTCATTTATGGAGGTGATAAAGAGTTCGGCGTAAAGGGTTACGTCGATGCAAGCTTTAACACCTATCCGGATGACTCTAAGTAGCAAACCAGATACATATAGTGGAGCAACCATTTGGAATAGCTCCAAGTGGAGCATAGTAGCAACATCTACAATATGAAATCGAGATTTGCGAAGAACACACGGATCTGAATGTTGCGGACCCCTTGACTAAAACCTCTCTCGTAAGCATAACATGGTCAAACCCTAGAACTCATTGAGTGTTAATCACATGGTGATGTGAACTAGATTATTGACTCTAGTAAACTCTTTGGGTATTAGTCACATGGTGAGGTGAACTATGAGTGTTAATCACATGGCGATGTGAACTAGATTATTGACTCTAGTGCAAGTGGGAGACTTTTGGAAATATGCCCTAGAGGCAATAATAAAATGGTTATTATTATATTTCCTTGTTCATGATAATTGTCTATTGTTCATGCTATAATTGTATTAACCGGAAACCGTAATACATGTGTGAATACATAGATCGTAATATGTCCCTAGTAAGCCTCTAGTTGACTAGCTCGTTGATCAATAGATGGTCATGGTTTCCTAACCATGGACATTGGATGTCATTGATAACGGGATCACATCATTAGGAGAATGATGTGATGTACAAGACCCAATCTTAAGCGTAGCACAAGATCGTGTAGTTCGTTTGCTAAAGCTTTTCTAATGTCAAGTATCATTTCCTTAGACCATGAGATTGTGCAACTCCCGGATACCGTAGGAATGCTTTGGGTGTACCAAACGTCACAACATAACTGGGTGGCTATAAAGGTGCACTACAGGTATCTCCGAAAGTGTCTGTTGGGTTGGCACGAATCAAGTCTGGGATTTGTCACTCCGTATGACCGAGAGGTATCTCTGGGCCCACTCGGCAATGCATCATCATAATGAGCTCAATGTGACTAAGGAGTTAGCCACATGATCATGCGTTACAGAACGAGTAAAGAGACTTGCCGGTAACGAGATTGAACTAGGTATTGGGATACCGACGATCGAATCTTGGGCAAGTAACATACCGATGGACAAAGGGAATTGTATACGGGATTGATTGAATCCCCGACATCGTGGTTCATCCGATGAGATCATCGTGGAACATGTGGGAGCCAATATGGGTATCCATATCCCGCTATTGGTTATTGGCCGGAGAGATGTCTCGGTCATGTCTGCATGGTTCCCGAACCCGTAGGGTCTACACACTTAAGGTTCGGTGACGCTAGAGTTGTTATGGGAAATAGTATGTGGTTACCGAAGGTTGTTCGGAGTCCCGGATGAGATCCCGGACGTGACGAGGAGTTTCGGAATGGTCCGGAGGTGAAGATCGATATATTGGATGAAGGATATTGAAATCCAGAATTGTTTCGGAGGTACCGGGTGACGACCAGCGTGTCCGAAAGGGGTTTCGGAGGCCCCGGCAAGCGTTGGGGGCCTTATGGGCCAAGGGGAGGGGGCACATCAGCCCACTAAGGGGCTGAGCGCCCCTCCCACTCCATCTCACGTAACTTGGAGAGGTGGGGGCGCCTCCCCTAGGGCAGCCACCCCTCCCGGCTTGGGGGGCAAGTTTCCTAGGGGTGGGGGCGCCCAAACCCATCTAGGGTTTCCCCTGTGGCCGTCGCCCCTCCCCTAGGGAACCCTAGGGCACCTCCTCCACCCCCTTCCCCCTATATATAGTGAGGGAGAGAGAGGGCAACCGCACCCTTCCCCTGGCGCAGCCCCTCCCCCTCTCCTGCACTTCCTCCTCCTCCGTAGCGCTTGGCGAAGCCCTGCCGGAGAACCACGAGCTTCATCACCACCACACCGTCATGCTGTCGGAGTTCTCCCTCAACTTCTCCTCTCCCCTTGATGGATCAAGAAGGAGGAGACGTCCTCGGGCTGTACGTGTGTTGAACGCGGAGGCGCCGTTGTTCGGTGCTTAGATCGGAATCGACCGCGATCTGAATTGCTGCGTGTACGACTCCACCAACCGCGTTCTTGTAATGCTTCCGCAATGCGATCTTCAAGGGTATGAAGATACACCTCCCTTTCTCTTGTTGCCAGTATCTCCTAGATTGATCTTGGTGACACGTAGGAAAAAAATTGAATTATTTCTACGTTCCCCAACACCGTCGCCGCCGGTGATGGAGTCCGGTGGTCTTCTTCCTCTGCCCTGATCCGTCGCCGCCAGTGAGAGTTGCGAGAGTGGGGAAGAGTGGGGAGAGGGAGCGGTGAGGCTAATAATCACCGGCACTTCGGGAAGCAATGCGGCTTCTCGAGCGTGGCCGCGCGCGTGCAGCCGCCGCCGCCCACGTGCACCGCTCGGGCCTGGCCCTGGAGAAACTGCCGATTCGTGCGTTCCCAGTGAACCAGGCCCAGAGATGCTTTAAGAAGCGTGCGATGCAGGCCCAATAGTGTATGTGGGCTACCAAATAGGCTGATCTTTTCCCGCGCGGGCCTGGTCGAGGCCTATGCAGGCAACCAAACACACCCTAGATGATATGTCAGCTCAGTCTTTCGAAGATGCTCATAGGGATAGAGTGTGTGTATTTATAAGGTGAGTGTATGCGTGTATATATATGAGCGCTTGCGTCTGTACTGTGTTAAAAAAAAGGTGTGTCTAGGGCACATCTAAATATACTCTAGTTATTACACATCTAAATGAGTGAATCAAGCATAAAGAGAAAAAGAAAAAAGAAAAGAAATATTCACACGAATCTTAATGTAAGATCAATGACATATGATTTAGATGTGCAATACTTATAACACATCTAGATGTACTTTAGCAAAACTATAAAAAAAACACTGCGATGCACCGCACCGTGCACGCTTCGGTTCCGGTCACGGGAAAACGTTTTGGGGATGGACGCCGATGCACCACACCGTGCACGCTTCGGTTCCGGTCACGGGAAAACGTTCTGGGGATGGAGGCGCTGGGCCTCCTACGCCGTGCGTGCCGCCACGACTATTTCTGTCGGCGAAATTGACTAATTTGAGGCGAAAATATTTCGTAAACTAAACTATTTTTTAAATATTTCACACTGTTAATTTTTTTGTGCAGCGTTCAACAGTAAGGCGCTGAATTTTAATGTGTAACTTCTTACAACTAGACGTTGCACAGGTGTGGTGTCTTAGTGTTAGACACTGCCCAATAGAATACATCGACTTACTGTCAGACGCCCCATATTATGGGTCAGTTGGATGAAATATTTTTAAAAACAGTTTAGTTTGTGAAATAGTCTCTTTGTCTAAAAAAAATTGTCCCTCAAATGGTTGTATCTAGCATCAATTAGTGTTAGATACATTTATTTGAGAGAAGGATAAATTTTTCCGGATGAAAGGAGTAGTTTCGCCTCAAATTTGTGCCTTTTGCCCTTCTGCCGCCGCAGCACGGCCACTGCTCCTTCCCCTTCCCCTCAACCTCCTCTCACCAACAGCAAGCGCGGCACAGCCGTGCGCGCCTAAGTCAAAGCCGCCTCGTCGTCGGCGCGGACGATGGAAACCAAACCGGAGGAGCCGAGGGTGGTGACGCTGCGGCCGGTGGAGGCCACGCCGGAGTCCTTCGCGCCCTTCGGGCAGGTCATCGCCGCCTCCCCCGACGGCGACCAGTTCGGCCCCCACGACGCCCAGCTCGACCTCAACCGCGGCATCCCTAGGTTCGATTCTCCACATCCTATTACCAACCAATCATCCTCTTCTACTCTGTACCGGACAAGATCAAAGATTCTGAATGTTTGTCCCCCTGCAGGTTCTACATCATGAGATTGGAGAGCAGGCCGCTCAGGTTCTCGACCATCACCCACCACGCCAGCGTCACGCAGTGCCTGGGCTCCATCGGCGGCCAGGACTGGTACCTCGGCGTGGCCAAGCCTTCCGTCGTGGACGAGCACGGTGGCCAGGATGGTGGCAGGGCTCCCGTGCAGTCGCCCGCCGGGCACTACTATCTGCCTCCGGATCCGTCCGAGGTCCGCGTCTTCCGGGTCCCCGGTGCCAAGTTCCTCAAGCTGCACGCCGGGACCTGGCACGCCGGGCCGCTCTTCAAGGCAGACGCCCTGGATTTCTATAACCTGGAGCTCAGCGACACCAATGTGAGTGCTCCTATGTCATTGCGCTATTACTGTACTACTAGTTCGTTATTATTACTGCATTTAGTGCATCTGGGGAACAATCATTCCATCTGGCTTCTAATTTAATTCTAGGAAGTTTTGCCTAGCTTTGCAGTTGCAGTGTCATTGTTGGTTGGAATAAAACTGAACTTATTTGTTTCGTGTGTCTTAGAGCAGTAGAGCCTGACATATCACCGGTCTTAATTTTGAAATGCAAGAGAAATCACAACACCAAGATAAGAGCTCCTTTGGAAGTACAGAGTAGCTTCTACGGTACTCCCAATATAAGAGTGTTTAGATCAGTAAAATAGTAATCTAAACGCTCTTATATTAGTTTACGGAGGGAGTACTACTGTAGACAATACTGAAGTTGCTGCCTCAATTTTCAGAAATTTCATGAGACAGTTTATAATACTACACGATTTTTTGTGCATTTTTTCACACTTTGCACACAAGCACGTCACCTAAAGTTTTACTACTAATTTCAGAGAGTTTGTCAGACAGTTCTTGACGAGTTCACAATTATGTACGCATTTCTATTATAAAGCATTCACTTAGTCCATGTGCTACTGCTACCCACAGTGGTACATTCACCCTGTCTTAAGTGAACTATTTTGAGCTGGACTTGGAAAACCGCCAACCTTTCTTATACTGCTATTGGTTGTAGAGTCGGAAGCCTATTAAAACTATTGCTGCTGCATTATTATCTTATAGAAGTGCATCATTCATCCGCTGGAGTTGGAAACCAACCTAATCTAAGTAGAGTTGAAAGCCTGATGTACTCCATCCTGATTTTTCTAATGGAAGAAATGTCGTGCACCCAATCTAAAAAAAAAGAGCTCAGATATCCTTGAGTCTTTAGATCAAACCCAGTATATTGCAAAGAATTCGGCCATGTAGTTGATTGCATCTCCAGATCTCCCTTACAAGAATTTAATCATACACATCAACTCTAAGTTTATCATCTCATCGTCTCTTTAGGGTGTGAAGTTATAAAACTATGTTACATTAACCTGGAGCTGAGCGACACTAATGTGAGTGCCGTACTGCCATATCATTGCACTATTATAAGTTCTTTACTGCATTTAGTTCGTCTGGACAACAACCGTTCCATCTGGCTTCTAATAAAATCTGAGGTAGTTTTGTCTAGCTTTGCAGTTGCAGTGTCGTTGTTAGTTATAAAACTGAACTTAATAGCACCGACCTTAATTAGGAGACTTGAGCGAAACCACAATACTAAGATAAGATTTTCTTTTGAAGTAGCTTTTATGCTACTGTAGACAATACTGAAGTTGCTGCCTCCATTTTCAGAAGTTTCATGAGGCAATTTACTGCCTGTTCGGAACCTCTCCAGTCTCGTAACTCCGCTCCTCGCGAGGAGCTCAGTTTCGGTCGCTCACAGCAATTGTGCTGGCGCTCCCTCCGCTCAGGGAGCTGCAGTTGTGGAGCGGAGAGGATCCGAACAGGGCCTTAGTTATGAACTTATGATATATGAACATTTGTGCATTTTTTACACTTTTTGACATGTTACCTAATTCTGAATTTCAGAAAGTTTGTCAGACAGTTCATGATGAGTTTGCAATTTTATGGTAGTACCTATTAGGCTATTGCACTTACAAGTCCATGTGCTATCTACAGTGGCATTCATCCTGTCTTAAGTAAACTTTTGTGATCTGGAGTTGGAAAACCGCAAGCCTTCCTTGTACTGCTATTGGTTGTAGAGTCGGAAGCCTATAAAAACTATTGCTGCTGCATTATTATCTTATATAGAAGTGCATCATTCATCCGCTGGAGTTGGAAACCAACCTATCCTAGATTGAATAGTCTAAAGTAAAGTTGAAAGCCCGATGTACTCCATCCAGAATTTTTTAATGGAAGAAATGTTGTGCACGAAGGGGAGCCTTGGCGCAGCGGTAGAGCTGTTGCCTTGTGACCATGAGGTCACGGGCTCGGGTATCCTTTAGAGTTTAGATCAAGAAGCCCAGTATGTTGTATCAAAAAGAATTCGGCCACGTAGTTGATTACATCTCCCTTACCAGAAGTTTGTTATACACATCAAGTCAAGTTTCGTATCTCGTCTCTTTAGGATGTGAAATTATGAAATTATAAAAATGTGTTACTTTAACCTGGAGCTGAGCAACAGCAATGTGAGTGCCATACTGCCATGCCATTGCACTATTATAAGTTCATTACTGCATTTAGTTTGTCTGGAAAACAGTTGTTCTATCTGGCTTCTAACAAATCCGAGGTAGTTTTGTCCAGCTTTGCAGTTGCAGTGTCCTTGTTTACTAGTTATAAAACTGGACTTAATAGCAGCGACCTTAATTCGGAAATGTGAGGGAAACCACAATACTAACATAACGGTTTCGTTTGAAGGACCTTCTATGTTTCTGCTGACAATACTGAGGTTGCCGCCTCCATTTTCACAAGTTTCATGAGGCAGTTTAGTTATGATATACGGACATTTGTGTATTTTCACACTTTGCACTACCGCGTTACCTAAATTTCAGTTTCATAGAGTTTGTCAGACGGTTCATGACGAGTTTGCAATTTTGTACGCTGTCCATGTGCTACTGCTATGCACAGTGGTGCATTCATCCTTTCTTATCTTAAGTAAACTTTTGTAAGCTGCAGTTGGAAAACTACCAGCCTACCTTACCTTGGTAGTGAGTCGAAAGCCTGATAGAAGTATTGTAGAAGTGCATCACTCATCTACTGAAGTTGGAAACCAACCCGTTCCGTCCTGCCCTGTTCTGTCCTAGATTAAATAGTCTGTAAGTAGAGCTGAAAGTCTGATGTACTCCATCAAGATTTTCCTTGTGTTAAGGGTATTCAGGAACAGAGGGTGTACCAATTATACGCATCCTCACAAAAGAAAAAGTGTAACTTTTATCATCTGATCTGACCATACTTGTGGAATCTGCAGGACGTGGATCGCACCACGTACTACTTCAAGAAGCAGGACGGCGTGACCTTTGTGATCGAGGAGTGAGTGAGGCGCCGCACGTCGCGACCTGGGCGCATAAAGCCCAGCGCAGCGTGTGCCTCGCGGACGCTGTTCGTGCCACGTCTGTCCCTCTGCGTGATGAACTTCCAGTGTGTATGTATGTATGTATGTATGTATGTATGTACTCGCAATAATGTACTGCTACGTACTGCAAGCCATTTGTATACGTACTTATTACGTAGTACGCGTCAGCCGCTCCCTGGGCGTACCCTTATTTGAGTCGCTGTTGCTGCTGACAAGCATCATAATACCGTGCCGCGCCGGCCATGCCCCAGCGAGCGAGCGGCAGCCGGCCGCGCCGTGCACATGGGCACGGAGGCCGGCGTGAATGCGGGGCCGCCGCCGGGCCCGGGCCCTCCCGGCGCGCGACACATGGCGCGCTCCGGCGCGTCCACTCCGACGGTGGGTGCAGGCCCCGTCGGCATCCACGTCCGCCCGTCCGTCCGGCGATAGTTGGCGCGCCCGCAATGGTCAGCAGAGCAGAGCAAAGCACCCATGCCGATTACCCGGCGCCCCCGATTAATTAGCGAGGACTTTATATTAGGCGCACGGCGCGAGGTGGCGCGACGGGGGGCGCCGGACGACAAAGTGCTGCTAGTACTACTAGTACTCCCCGTCCGTCGGCTCGGCCCGATCAGCTCGCCACCAGCAAGCAACCGCTCTTTTTAGTCCCCACTCGCTCCACGATCCCTCCCCCACTCCGGCCGGCCACGCGCAAAGCGAAACGCTCCCCGACTCCGGCCAAGAGCTCCAGCGCCGCCGCCGCCGACCGTCGTTCGTCCATATGGTGAGGTCCAACTCCATCGACAGCTGCTACTCCTCCATCCAGGACGTCACCTACAGGTACCTTCCGCTTCCACTTCCACTTCCGTCGACGCTTCCATTTCTCCGCCGGCGACGGGTTCATTGACCCCTCCGGTTCCTCCTGGTTCGCCGGCGGCAGCTGCGGGTACTGCGGCTACGCGCTGAACCTGAGCTCGGCGGCGCGGAACACGGCCAACATCGGCTCCAAGTACGGCAAGCAGATCAGGAAGAAGGGCATCGTGGCCTTCGTCGCCGTCGACGAGACGCGCTTCACGCAGGCCGACGAGGTCACCTGCGCGCCCCGCCTCCGCCCCTGGACCTGGCGCCTCTTCCGGCGGAGGTCGCGCCTGCTCTGCGGCAAGTGCGGCGGCCGCATCGGCGCCGCCTACGAGGTCGACGAGGAGGACGAGGACCCCGCCGGCCTCTCCGCGTGCGGCGGCTCGGACGACGACGACGACGACCTGCGGACGAGCCCGGGCGATGATGTCGGCGCGTCCAGAAGGAGGAACTACCTGATCAGGATCGGCGCGCTGCAGCCCTCGACGGACGATCCTCCTCCTGCCGATCCCTTCTCTCTATGATATGATATGATATTGATATGACACACCGCTGCTGAATTTTGTTCCTTTGTTCATAGTGGAAGACGACCCGAGAGCTTGATGTGTGTAAGTTGATCCTGCTATAGTTTTTGTGTCCTGGTAATGGAGTGAGCCATGGTTGCAATTTTGAGCCACCTAGTATTTGTCAATGGTTTAATTCTAGCTTTCTGTGTGGGTTTTTGCTCTCTTGATATCTAAATTATGGGTTCTGTTTTGATTATCCACAGATAAATATATTTCAGTTTGTCATCACTGATTCCATAAGCTGGCTGACAAGATGAATTCATGTGATGGAGCATTGTTATGTTTATTATCACCATCAGTTCTTGTATGCAGCCAACTCGCTGCGAATTCCGAATTGGAGCACAACATTAAGGTTTGCAGTCAAGGCTCCAGGTAAGTCCATGCAAGTAGCACCTCAGTTAGTAAGTTGGATTACATGGTGAGAAACACCATTTTTCTGATCCAAGAATTTGTATATGCAAAATGCCAGTTACTCCCTCCGTCCCACAATGTAAGACGTTTTTGCAAGTTAAACAAGCTTGAAAAACGTCTTACATTATGGGACGGATGGAGTATTTTCTTTCTATGCAGTGAGTAAATCTGGAAATTATACTTCTCAAATAATCACTATATCATATACAAGGAGCTCTTTTAGCTGCAGTAGTACAAATGTCAGTTTCCCCTATTATCTAAGATACATACATTTTCAATAGAGATAACTGAATAAAATGTTGTGATGATCAAATCAAACAAAAAAAGAATGTGAAAAACGGTGAATATGATTTTTGTAGTTTACACTATCATTTTCTGCTTCAAGTGGCTATTGAGTAGGCATCGGTGTGTCCTTCAAGAAGTGTCTGAATAGTATTAGTGCTTGTCGAGGCCGGTGCAGAGGTACCTCATGCCCTGCGCCTGCTACGGTAACGAGGGTTAGTCCTTTGTAAACTTGACTCCAACCTCCAACCTGCAAAACAAAGAGGATTATTGATATAGATCGAAACTGGTCTTTCTGGGACAGAATTTTCTCGATTTAGTGAATAGCCATTTCAGTGAACCCACCTTTCCATGGTCATACCAAGGGTACCAATTCATCAGCGTTGGCAGCTTCAAAGCGCTTATGGAATATCTTGTTGCGGTTACAGGAACAACAGCATCTGTATCCCCACTGCAGAAAGGTAAAATGCATGGTCAGTCATTATCCATGAGGTCAACATTATACAAACAGATTGTTTTGCAGCAGCTAGAAATCATTTCAGAATGTGATATTTTTGTTCCTTCCCTTAAGGGGCAATACTAAAAATGTATGGAGAAGATCTATACAGACAAGCCGATATCAATATAAAGTGGTAGTTAGATACTGCAGTCAGCCATGCAGAACACACAAAAATAATTCCCTAACCCAGAAACAAGTTGGACTCCGTGTTAAACTGACAAAAACATATACTCGGTCATGAGGAATATAAGAAATCTGAAACAAGCAAGTGCTGGGCCTTCTGGCACTTACCTGAATACCCATATCTTGATACCTGCTGCAATTAACTCATGGTAGATAGGAAGCATAGATCTGGGGGAATCCGCCCAATACGATCCGACAATATCACTGCAATAAATAGGCAAATGAGTATATATATGCTTAAGAAAGGAACAGAACTTTAAGGTGTATTTTTCAGCTAAAACGATTTAAACCTGCAAGTTTTCCAAGGGTATTTAATTCCAGTTGTGTTAGCGTGTAACGCCGCCTGCACTTCTGGCAGATTGTAGTATATATTTGAATATCTTTCGGTGCAAGGATCATAAGCTCTGGACAACCAAGGCTGTAAAAAGTATCATCAGCTTAAATATATAGACGAACAATACAATCAAAGAATATCTAGTTCTACGACATACATCTATTCAATCAAGTGAAAATAACAATCCTAGGTAGATAAATAAGAATCAGAAATCAAACAAATAGTTCTAAGGCAATGCAAATTACTGTAGCAAATTGAATAAGCATCACGTTTCATGTCAGCATTCATGTATATCTGATCTAAAATACTTGGTACCACTATCGAAATTCAAGCAGTGTTAAATGCCACAGTTGCATGGAAGTGCATGCACTCTGTACAACACACAAAACAGAACCTTCTAAAAAACGCAAAACCACCTGATCGAACGTAATCGCCAAAATATAAATTTCCTCAACAGACAATTTATTGATTGCACCCATTACTTCAATTTATCAGACATTTGGTTTCTATATATTGGACCAATTGGACCCTCCTCAGCAGAGAACTACACTGAGCTGAACTACATTGCTCCTTATTCAGTCTAAAATGGCGGTCAACCTATTGGGCTGATATTAAATCAATTCAGTTCGTCTACCCAGTTTAGCATCTACCCTGTTGGGCTGATGTTTAACCAGCATTTTGTTATTGACATTGCACTCCTGCCTGCCCATAGAATCCATAGTCCAGTGTATTTTCAATGTAAGAACGGGAAATTTAAAAGTTCTAGACAGTTATAAATTTTTTAGAAACAAAGTACTTACATAGCGTCCTCCCAGGCCAAGTTTGAGAGAGGCTGAGCTATTGCAGGGCTTTGTATACAGGCTATAAGGGTCAATGTTGCCTTCTTCGGAACTAGCCAGGTTCAGGTTCTTGACACATTCAGGGGAAGGGTGCTCTGAGGAATCAAACAAGCATGTCTTCTTCAAATTGTGGTAAGTGCTGTCAGAGATCAGGCCATGACTCCACCAGTACTCAAATGTGCCAAGATAGTCATTGTAGTCATCCGTAACCGCATTCCCCACCTTAATTTTCAGGAATAGTAAGTTTTCGGGAGTATATTGGAACTTTTACAAGCAAAACATGGATTTCAAATGTTTACCACAAATCCTTTGAGGTTAATTATTGGATTGGCAGTGCCATTGTTCTTTTCGAATATGAGCTTGGCCAGCTGGGGAACATAATGCCCTGAAATTTTCAAAAATAAAAATAAAAATCAGCCTTCCATCAAGCAAAGAATCAGAACAGAAAATTCAAATTAGGCCCCATTTGGAAGATGAGTTTTCACCAATTCCTGCTAGAATTGAACTATTTCCTGTGAAAATTTTGCAACATTCCTGGATTACAAAAGTATAATACCTGCATAGCTCTCTCCAGCAATGTAGAACTCCCTGTACTTGTACTGAGGGAATCTCTCCAGCCAGTTCACCAGAAAAGCGTAGGCATCCAGTGCTACAAGACAAGACAAAAATAGAGGCAAAGGACAGGAAGTTGGCATCAAAATTCCAAAGAATCAGTGTCACCGGAAAGCTCGAACGAAAATGGCGATGAATCTTCCATCAGTTACCTGTCTTGGCGTCTCCCGCCGTGTACAGATCCATGGACGTGTTGGAGTAGGAGAAGCCCACGCCGGCCGGCGACTCCAAGAAGAGCAAATTGGCCGCTGCAATCAAACACCATGTGTAAATGTGACGCTGCTGACTGAAGCTCAAGCAGCTGAAGAAGAAGACGGCTACGCACCCTTGTTCCATGAATTCTTGTTGAGGTAGAGCGTCTTGCCGTCGGGGCGGATGCGGAAGGGGCCGACCTCCTCGGAGGCGCCGTAGCCGACGGAGGAGCAGCCGGGCCCGCCGTTGAGCCAGAGGACGAGCGGCGCGATGGGCCCGGCCGCCGGCGCCGCCTCGACGAGCCAGTAGAAGAGCGCGCGGCCGCGGGCCTGGTTGACGGTGACGTAGCCCGAGTACTGCGAGAAGCCCACGTCGGGCGGCTGCCCCGGGAGCTCCCGGATCCGGTCGCCCTCCTGATCGGCCGGGGCGGCGGCCGCCAATGACACCGACGCCGCTATCACCAGCAGCAGCAGAGCCGCGAGCCCGCGAGCCATCGGTGGCTAGGCGGAGCAAGCTCCAGTGGGTGGAGCTGGAGTGTGGCACACCGGGTGGTGGCGGTGGAGTGGAAGAGGCGGGTAGAGTGGAGCTTGAGCTTGCTTGCACTTGCGCAGTACGCAACAGTAGCTCGTGCTGCGACTGGCACCACCACCAGCACTGCTGCTGCCGATAGGAGGAGGGGAGGAGCTACTGTATAAGATACTGAGGGCCACCACGAGGGAAGGAGACCGGGTTGCTTGCATGGATTTCAGCAGCAGCAGCAGGGGATTTGATTTCTGATCCTTACGCCATGACAGCTAGCTCAGCTCAGAGGGGCCATGGCTCCGCTGGGTCCCCTGGACGGAAGCACTAAAGAAATGGAGATGGAGAGGACAGCCGATCTCTTCTCGTCACATTCCCTTCTCATTCGACTCCTCTGACCAGCGCGCCCGCCCCCACGGTGGGTACAGGGAAGCAAGTACAGGAGGCGCAAAATGTGCCGAGATTTTCCGCTTGGAGGCGCGATGATTGAGCTGCGGCGGGGGGCAGCGCAGCTCAGGGTGGCGGAGGAGGGAAAAGGGAGGAGGATCGGATCGTGTACTTGGCTGGGCTGGGCTGGGCTGGGCTGGGCTGGGCTGGGTGACTTGCGAGACTAAATTAGGTGCGGTGCTGCAGATCGGCTGCGGCTGGCTGGCACCGCGGTATCTGCTCGGGGTGCCGTGTCGGCAGCAGCGCAATAGTATAGTGCGTGGCGGCGAGCGTGGGTGTGTGAATGAGACGGGGGTGGGAGGAAGAAGATGAGGCTGCGATGGGGCACATGGGGCTGGAGCCTGGGAGGGAAACGTGGGGTGGTGGCGAGACTAGACTGGCAGTGGCGGGAGCTAGCGGGGCAGCGCCAAAATAATAATTCGCGGCGCGCATCTGCCCGCTGTGCGCCGCGGCAGCTAGCGGCGTCCCGTACGTCCTGCTCGCGCGCGCTGTGGACGAAAGGGGCGGCCGAACCACCGCGGGTGACCTGTGCTGGCTAGCCATGGTTCCCGATGCGCTCAGCATACACGGGACATGGCGAGCCTGAGGCCCGCTGGTGGGTAAACTGGCCAGTTGACGACCCGAAGGAGCTGAGCTGCTGCTAGAAAGGAGAATGGGATTAAGAACCTGCCGCTGTGATTAGCGGCAAAAGGGCTTTGCAGAGCTGTGATGATGGCTGGCGGTGGCACTACTAGACTGCCGGCGGCAGAGGGCAGTCTTCCCGGAAAGAATAACATGCACGCACGGGGAAAGAAAAGAAAGCAGAGAGAGATTGCTTCGGGGAACACGAAAGCGCCATGTTTGGTTCTTACACGCATACAGAATGCACTTCCATTTGGAAATTGGAACCCTTTTTTTGAGTAGTACGTATCTCACGTTGAGCTCTGCCCGAACGAACGAATGAACTCGTGTGGTGGGGCTTGCCGTGCGTATGCGTGTCGCTACGGAGCGGAATGATGCCGCCTGCGTGCGCGCAGGCCCTATGCGAACCTCTGGTCCTGGTCCCGACTCCCGACGTGTCGACATGCCAGATATCCAGAAAAAAAATGCATGCTACGACGTCGGGGTGTGTGGCGCGGTACGCTGGCTGAACCATTTCGACGCTCTGGCTCGCAGACCCGAAATGACGTACTACTACTACTATCTACTTCCTCCGTTCCTAATGAACTAACACATACAGATGTATATAGACATATTTTATAATGTAGATTCATTCATTTTGCTCTGTCACTTGTTGAAATCTTTAGAAAGATAAATATTTAGGAACGAAGGGAGTAGAAAGAAAAATGCGCTGCAAAACCAATGGAATCGGTTTGTTCGCAGAACCACTCATCCGAATCTCGTTGGTTTCACTTACTGTTAGTACATGATGATTACATTCTCATTTGCAAATAAAAAAACATGATTACATTCTGAGAGGTTGCGCAATGCACGCTGACACTGCTGCTGCTGCTGCTAGCTGGTCGCATGAGAAAAAAGGAATTCCCTCCGGTACTGCTGGATGAAATGCGTCGGCCCTCCAAAACCCAGCGCCGAAAATGGCCGGGTGCACCGTCCCTGGAAAACACCGGTAGGTTAAGCTGCCATGTCGGATTCGGGCTCGATGGCGGATCGGAGCCCGTGGCGGACCATCATCTGCGCGTAGAACTCGGCATGCTCCTGTTCAGCCATCATGAGAGCAGTATCTCTTAAATTAAAATACTCCAAAAAGTCACTAGTAGTATATCTATTCTAGCCATGGCCTACTCATAACATGTACAGTAGGAGAAAAGGGAAAAGTTAGGGAGTGTCCTCCAAGTCTTGGAGCTGTAGTGGACTGTAGTAGGTTGGTGTTGGCTCAACAGAAATTTAAAACGGGGCGCTAGCTATTGATTGACTGAATGAGCTAAATGAAAGCAGTGCGGGCATGCGTGTATGTACGTACCTTGACGGCGACGATGACGAGCGCGGCGCCTTTCTGGCGGGACTCGTGGAAGAGCTGCCGCGCCGCCTCGGGGGTCACGGACGGCACCACCTGCGGCAGCGCCGTCTCCACTGCACATCACAGCACACGCACACGCACGGTGGTAAAGACGGCGGCCAACCATGAGTCCATCGAGACATCAGAAAACATTGCAGGAGAAGAAGAAGAAAAGGATGCGTACCGTGCTTCTCGGTGTGGCGCGGGTCGTCCAGGAGCAGCACCTTGTAGCTGTCGCCGCTGCCGGTGCCCTTGCGGTCCTTGAGCCTCCCCGTGTCTCCTCCTGCATGCAATGACACGACGCCATTATCAATATCAGCGCACCGAGCATCAGAAATGGAGAGCTCAATATCAATATCAATTTGGTTTTGGTTTTGGTTTTGGTTCGGCGTTGCTGAATGCGCACCTTCTTGTGCTGGGGGGAGGGTGTCGAGCTGGGACTGGTCGAAGGCCGGCGGGTCCAGCACCGCGCCGCCAGCGCTGGTCGCGCGCGCCACGGCTGCCAACGCCTTCCTCGGCCGAGCTCTCCGGTTCACGGAGACGCTCGAGGGTGGCGCGGCGGCGGCGGCGGTGCTCGGGAAGGCGAGCGCGGCACAGGCTGCTGCTCTGCTGCTGATCGCCATGGAAACGTATGTATGGTTGTGTTTGGCAGAGACGAGAATTTCGTGTCAGATCGTGCAAGGGAGACGAGACGGGCAACACAGGACAGGAATGGAGACTTGGAGAGAGCGTGCGTGACCTGACCTGAGTGACGGTCGATGGAGCGATTTATTCAGGGTTCGGCAAAGAAAAGTGGCAACAAATGTTCACCTTTGCAATTCGTGATGAATTCTTCCTCTCTCCTCAACCATACAGAGCACAAATAATCCAGCGGTAAACACAGCGCTGTCTTAATCGAAACGAAGAGGTACCGCTACAACTGTGCGCATTACAACGCGCATCTGGAACAATCCAGAGTTCTGACGGCCCAGATCTCGCCACACATCTAAGTTGGCCGGCAACGACCACATCTTGTCTTCTGGCCATCGCCAGCAAACGGGTCTTGCTGGAACGTTCCAGAAACAATACAAACCCAGACGCCGGTAAGGATCCAGAACCGACCACAAGAAAATTGCACGTGTGCGTCTTAAGGGCCTCTTTGATTCATAAGATCGCAAAAACACAGAAATAGGGAAAACGCAGAAATGGAATGACATGTCCATTGGATCCTATAGGATTTAAGTTTGTTTGATTGTGATCCCTATAGGATTTAAGTTTGTTTGATTGTGTCACGAAAAAAATAAAGGATTTCTTTCAAGAGGTTGGAGTGGATGTTAGAATTCTTGCAAAAGAAATAATCCTACAGGATTCAATCCTACGAATCAAACGATCAACGTAGGAAAAATTCCTACGGATTCTAATCCTTCAAACATCCTATGAAAATTCTTTGAATCAAAGAGACCCTAAGCAATCGGATAGATTCGACTGAAGGTGAAAGTAAGACTCAAAGAAAAGATGAAAGAATACCAACTAGGAGTACAAGCGACCACAAAAAAAACACGCATTTAGAAAACATATTAGTGGATGATATCCAACAACGTAGTAACAGCAGAAAACTGGGCGACTAGAGTGTCATATATATTTCCATATACTGTCTGTGGGCACGAAGAACACAGCGTTCGATGCACCATTTTTTTACAATATAAAGTACAAAAATGGATTTCCGTATACCAGCTTTTTATCCTCTATATCCCATGAAATTCTTGAGCCGAAAGTCTCAAACGGCTCAACGAGTTCATGAACAAAAACCAAAAAATTCCTATATACTCCAGATATGCGCAATCACTTGACCAGAACAAACGACATCAGACCACTTGATAGTTAACAGTGACCAGCCGAACCTGCTGTGAATATTTTGAACTACCTCCCTGCAATGGAAGGATGGCAGTAACCTGAAACCAGAAATTTGCAGGAGACAATAAGAATTACAGATTCAAGGAGAAACATCGAACCTAGACAAATGGATTAACTCGGCGCAAGCAGAATAGCATTTCTGGAACGATGTGGTGCAGTGTCATCGAGTAAACAGTAAGAAATATCACAAAGCCCATAAATAAAATGCTTCCAGCATCAGTTTACGACTAGAGACCTACTATAAACTTTATTTGGTTTATTCTTTTTCCGAACTGCTGCTCCTAAAGAAATGACGAGGCAAGGGTGGACATAAAGAAATTTGAAATGTGGCTGAAAAAATTAATTGCAAAACAGAGTAGATCAAAATAACATAAAAGCCAGTAAGAGGACATCCTACTGCTTGACACATGGAAAGGAAGAGGCAAGAAAGCAAAACATACAAACTCTACACAGGTAGACTGTTCACTGTCTAACATTGTACTGGAAAATTCTGTGCCGTTGTACTTACTGTAGAGACAATGAATATTCAACCAAGCCTTAATGCAAGTCAAATGATGTGATACAGCAAGACAACCATGCAAATTCCACTCAAATACATGTTATTCTCAATATAGCATTATGCTTATCTGTGTCCATAGTTCTGGAGTCACTAGAGCAAAGCAGGGGAAGATGCAAAGCATGCATGTAAACAAGTAATATAACAAACCTTCACGTTACTAAATGTATTTGATGCAGAAAATCCAACAGAGATGGGAAAAAATGTCGATGGATCAGCAGCGGGAACAGAGAACTCCATGGAACCACTGCAAATGAAAAAATAAATAGAAGACAAGTGTTATCAACACCATGGGAACAAACTGCATGATAGAAGTAACACTACTGAGAAAATATACTTCATGTACCTTCGGTTGGATTGATCAATAAGCATAACAGACCATTCCAACACAGAGTTTCTTGAGTCATACCTGGATAAATAAAGACACAAGACCATGAGTGCAGGTAATAACTAACTAGATGGACAATCCGGAGAAACTTGCATAAAGAAACTATTTTAAAGAGGAATGAAATGGATAGGTGACCTGGAGAAATTATCATCCGAGTAAATCATTTTTTTAATGTGGAATAAATTTAATCACTTGTTTTTAAAGCTGCTTAATTTATTACACTCCGTGGTACATAAAAATGAAATACTGAGCCATGTTAAATACAGCCTAAATATACATCAAATTACTACTCCGTTTGACTATAAAGTGTCCTCAGACTCAGGTGTCTTCACAGTGAGTCTTGTGTGGACCAAGAGCATAGTTATTGCCATATTTCCACTCTATGCCCTTAATATGTTCTGGGAGTGGTTGTAGCATGTCATTTAACAAGTGTGTGTACATGGAAATTTGTCCCACATTTAGTGTTTCTTGGTCTGTGCACATGCTGGGCACATTTTAGCAGGGTATTTAAGAGAAGATGAGGAAGTTAGAACATTACCTCCATTCTCCATCTATCTGCTTTACACTTGGAGCATCCCTAAGTGCGGGTAGAGGGATAGAGACGATAACATTGTGCAAATCAAACATGTCTGAAGCTTCATATTCAATGTTCACAACAGTTGTATTTCCAGATGTTGAAGGCCAGCAACTGACTGGAATTGGCAAAAACAGGTTACGCAAGTACAAACCACTGGAATTGGCAAAAACAGGTTATGCAAGTACAAACCAGCAAGCTACTAAAAGCAAACAGTTGCAGTATACCTGTCAATGGCAGAGAAGACTCATTCAACCCCTCGATTCTCCATTTCACCAGGGGTGTTTCATTTTGACCACTGGGGAAAGGCCTTGTTGGATCTCTTGCCCCAACAATTTTCTGGCCGTTGAACAGCTGTTTGTCAATATTAGGGTGCGTCCTGAAGCTAAGTCCAGGTGCATCTTGGTTCTCAATCTGTACCAAATGCAGGAAAAATTGTATCTCCAAATTAAAATTGAAGTAATTTCAAACGTGCTGTTAACCAAAAAAGCAGTGCTTGCAGGCAAGCAACTCCTACTCATGTTGCTACAGTAGCATGTACTAAACAAAATTGTGATCACTTTTCCGTCTCAAAAATTCATAGTGTAAGATAGGACAGTAGTGAGTTATATATGGAAGTTTGGTTATTGTGTGCTATGAGTGATCTAAAAGACCATTTCATTAGTCGCATCAATGGATATTGAGGACTGTACAAAACAGTGTGACTCACTAATATAAATACACATGAACAGAAGCTTTATGCAAATTCATATTAAAACTGAATTAACAGATTGCATTGCTTAATAGTCTGAATGTTCCAAGTGAATGAGTCGTATGAGAATGTAAAGATCCAGAACTCGGACATAGAAAATGACCTGCAACTGGATATAACCATCAGTGTCATTAAGAACTTGGAGAGCAAGGGTTCCTTGAACATCAAAATTATTAACTCCGCCATCCCTTTTAACTGTGACATTCAATTTCTCTTCAATGGTCACTGTGATAGGATCACTTGGTAGAATAGATGATGATGACCTTGACTGAATTGTGCTTAGTTGAGTATCCTCCAGAATAACTTCTCCTTCAGCTTTCAAAGACTCCAGGAACTGATTTGGCTTGTGTGCTTTACTTAATTTCATTGCACCAGGCATTTTAATAGGAGCAGGAGAAGGAGCAGATGATCGCCCTGTATAAATGCACCTAGCAGTTAACACAAATAATAGCCACAAAGCCAAATCCATACTCACACGTTGATTGCCTCATCTCTCTCCTCTAACCACACATCACCATAAAAGAAAGCTTTACTGTTTGAAGTCATGCAAGTCTCAGCAAATTGTGTGAAATATGTGAAAGAAGATATTTCTTTCTTGCAACTGCTCTACTTTTTCCTTGTTAATTGGTTGTGAATCAGAACAAGTCATAGCTTTCAAACTAAGATGATAATTTACTTGCTGACACGACAGATAGTTACATCTTTTAATTCATGAACAAGTCACCTACTGCAAAAGTAAATATACTCAATGCTAGGGACTTAGTCTACTTGAATAGAACCGATTGCAAATGCCTGATAAAATGAATAGGGTAAAGCATAATGAGAACCGGCTAATAATTATCATGAATCCACGGATGATCCATATTGGAAGTGTCCTAGGGGAATGTAAGCATATGATACTGTGTTCGTCCAGAATTCCATCCAATACACCATCAATTATTTATGCACAAATTTACTGCAAGTATACGATACTACAAATATTAACATCAGTGGTAAAAGAGAACAAATATGTTACTAATACATAGGTTTCTGTTTCCACGCAACATGCATTTTTCTAAGTACAAACCTCTTGTCTTGTCAGTAAATATAGGATTAATCTCTGACCCTGGACCACCTCTAATGTTCATGTCATTAAAGTTATTCGGAGTTCTTGTCGGAGCAAATCCTTCCCCAGTCTTGCCTCTGTCAATCTGCACAGTCCAGCAAAAAAGATTGTTAGGTCTACATGGGGGGCTAGTAATAGGGGTGGATATCCCTTGTGATGCCTAAACTAAGAACATGTTTCTTGTTCGAGTAATATGTAGGACAAACCTTGTTTTTCTCAATCTCAGTAACTTTTCTCCTCATGAGATCGTTAGTGTCATTTATCTTGCTTTGCATGATCAGCTTGTGCAGCTTCTCTTCATGGCTCTCCATTTCACAATATTGTTTAATTTGTGGAACAGTTACATTTTCCTTGTTTCCAAGAGAAATGGCTTCGTCAAAAGCAAATATAAGTTGGAACGCGGCCTTGCAGACACCCTCTTCGTCCAAAGAAGGGGAGTATTCAGGTACCTTTATAGATGTTCAAGGAAACCATTGCAACATTGATTCAATAAAAACCAATTATATAACTAGGTTTTAAGAAGAAAAAAACAGATGGTAATAGTCTACTGACATGATCATTGAGTTGATTTTTGTTCCAATAAGTTTGATGTCGAGTTGCTAGCATTTAGTGTGTGTGTTTTCGAGTTAGCTACATCTTCTTCTTTTCTTTTTTTGGCACAATCTTTACTTTTTAAAATTGCAACAACCTAACTTTTGACAACAGAAATATAACATGATTGAAAGTAGGATACGATTTTGGAGAGCAGCCTCAGTGTGTCCAGATCTTCAAGGATGTTGCTCTGCTTATTTGTGATGAGTAGCAGATACAGCTCTTCAATTGGTTGATAAACATAACGAACATTTTCTGTCTCAACATAAGTATGTTGCTTTCCAGTTCCAACCAACTTTGGGAATGCTGCAAGCAGTCCCTCGATCCTTATCCGAGACATGTCAACATATTGCCTTGAAGCAAGTGCTGCAGTTCAAGTAAATAAACAATATCATATCATATATAGTATAGAGCTGTAGATACAAACATACACTAAGAAAAACATAAATCGTAGATTTACTGAACAACACTGAAGCAGAAAGGCCTTTTCAGAGCTGCTGTTTTAAACAACTCTACTCATCCATATACCAATGGATGACAGATTTTAATATATGCCTACAGCTACTAAGGTTAGGCTGCATTTTCGTTTTTTCTTGAAAACATTATAAAAAGAGGATATATCTCATACGAGAATCAATAGAAGGACTTTAGTACAACAAGAACAACAACAAAGCCTTAAATCCCAAACAAGTTGGGGTAGGCTAGAGCTGAATCCCATAAGATCTCGTAACCAACTCATGGTTCAATAGAAGGAATTTAGTAACTGCGGAATTTCAAACACACTCACCCTTTCCAGACTTTGATATTATAGAAGCTGCCAGAACCACCTGAGTGCATATAGAAAGAAACAGTCATTTCTTCTGAGTAGTACTAGGGAAAAAATATTACTACTTAGAATTAATGAACTAAAATAAAGCACAGTATTTCATTGTGATGCGTGTCTGAATGTCGAGAGGTAACTAAGTTTATAATATATATTGGGAATAAAACAGTAAAACATTGCAGGACAACAATTAGAAACAATCAGTCGTTACCATTTTCAGTGGTTCCGTCAATCCGAGGAATTATCAAAGCCAAGTTGACAGGTTATAGAACTGCAAGAGAGAGGCTAATTATTTCTCACAGAAACAAGGCATGCAAGATAGTTGAAACTTGAAAGCAGTGAGAACTGCAAATCTACAGCCACTCGTATACAAAGAGTATGGCCAAGAAATAAATGTTTTATGCACATATCAAATAGGATTTCACAGAATATTCTGCCACTTAAGTTTTGCTCGTGACAGAACAAATACAGTATGTCAATATATATTAATGAGATAAAGGTGCATTTGACAACAAATCACAAGACAGCCATAAGTAAAGTGCAAAAACAGAAAGACAAGGGGACATCTACATGAAGGTAATCATTATGAATAGTGAATTCAGACATATTTTCCCAGACCAATACCATATTTTATGAATTTCAAAAGTACAATGTCCACATAAGTAGGTGACCGGTAGACGTCAGTTAAAATAACACTATCCTAAAGCATTCACTGTGATGCAGATGCAGATTGTCAGATTGAACACTATGATCAGATATCCCTACTCAAACAACATCAGATCACGTGAAATAAAAAATCTAAGACCCACGAGCTAAACTATCCGAACAAGTTGAGCATATTGTACATAGGCCCGGCAGACTACTTATATGGCAACGGCTAATTTGACATCTGGATTGCCATCCCAGAACCGAATTGACATCTTCAAACTCGTCAGCCCGCACAATCCTCGCACAGTTGCACTCTAAGCACGAGCCATCTGAGAACCCAACTATTACTAACACCACTAACTGTGAGCCGCTATTGGAGTTTACTACAGATCCGAACTGTTAACCGCAAGCTGCAGCCGCTCCACGCACCGACCGTCTGAACCCAAACTGATCACAGATTCACGAACAATTAGACACGAACAATGCCTCGCGAAAACGGATTTTACAGATTCACGGATCTGGGAACGCGGGCGAGAAGGTTGGTAAGCGCGTAGGGGGCACCACTCGTGATCAGTCGGATCCTGGCGCGCCCCGAGGTGTCCGCCGAGAGGC